CCGAAGAAGGGAGTCTTGCAAATCATACCCTTCAACAGTCTGCTTTAGGTTTGCTAAGACTCAAGATCTCTGAAGGAAAGGCCTTGGTCTTTGCAAGACACAGCTTCAGCTTAACGGCATGAGTTGTCTAGTTTTCCTGCTGCCCCCCCACCAGTAGACAGGAATGGCCAGGCGTACTGTGGACAGTGACTGAGGTCACCTCTTTGAAAGGGCAGACTGCGGACTGTAGACAAAAACGGCAAAACGACACTCGAGACAACACTTAGGATAATCTCCAAGGCACAAGGCGATGAACGAAAGGACTTAAGGCTATTAGTCGATGAATATACATTGCCACGACCAAACTTCGCGGCTGCATGTGACCGGCAATAGACGAAATTTGCGCCTGCAGCTTGCAAGACAAATGAACAGAGAAATAATAGAATTGAGTCACAGTATTGGTGGTTTAGTTTTCCTGAAGCCTCCCTGCCAACAAACAGGAACAACTTGAGCACTGCTCTAATGCTTGGATGCGCATTCTCACCTAAGAATCGATCTCATGTCAATGAACGTTCTTTCTATTCAGGTTTGATGCAAAAAGTTTTGAAAAGGCCTCCTTAGGTTCAAGACCATGGAGCGTGTAGTTAGACCGCCTGTCATGTCCCTTGAAGAAGTGATGGCGTATGCCCATGCCAAGATGGGCAGCATCCATCGCCATCTTGACTGTTTAGAGATAGGTGGCCAAAGCGTGTCCATTCGTGATGGATTTGCCAAGAGGGGCATGACATCGGATTCCTTTGATTGCAGAGTCTTGGCTTTGAATTGCTTGTTCTTTGAAATGATGGCTGACAAGTCATCGCTCATTGGCAAAAACAGAGCTGTAGCCTGTAAAGAAGGTTGTGTCTCCCAATGTTCTGTACTCAATGGATGAGTTTGGTTGTCCTGAGTGGTCCGCCCACAAGGCTAACGTTGATGTTCAAGGTGAGCCTTCTGTTGGTATTGGACTGCCAAATTGCCAGGCAAATTGAAATTGTATCAAGACAGGCTCATATCTTTGCCTTTTTCCGAGGACGCTCCCCACGTATGAACTTCCACACGCTAACAGGGTTGATGATTCTGATCGATATGATGCTGGAGCTGAAGGAGAATGCTCTTCTGTATTTTTCCTTAACCTGCTCCAGTTGGATTTGGCTATCCCGGGGAAGTACCTTACGTGGTGTTGATGCTCGTCGTTTCTTCCAGTACTCACTGTTGTCTTATTTGTTATGGGGTTCTTTGTGGAAAGCTCAGAGATTTGCATGAGTTGCTTCTGTCTCAAATCGGCTGAGGACCTGTGGGGGAATCCGTCTGTCAAGAGCTGTGTGACGGGAAATGCAGCTGCGGAAGTATTCGGATTTATCATTATACCCTTTGCCAGGATGTTGAATCTGCAGATTGCCGGGGAACAGCCCCAGTCGTCGCTTATGTGGCGATGGCCTGGTTCTTTTGATGCGTTTCAAGCTCACGGTTCCCTTCCCTCCATTTGCTTTTGGCCTTTAACTTGCCAAACGATGCTTTTGCGGTGGCTGGCTGTACGCTGAGGTATCCAGGAGTGGCTTGAAGGCCTCAATGAAGATGGCAGCCTCATTGAGAAGTCGCTTTCTCTTGGTAATTTTGGAGGCATCAGTTGGAAGCCCCTGTGCCTTAAGGGCAACTGGCCAGGCCTGAATATTTTGGGGCTTGTCCATCGGACGCTTTCAGCTGAACAAAAAGATTCAGCCCAGTTGGCAAAGTTGAGCAAACCTTCAGGGCGGAGTCTTGTCAACAATTACAGTACATGAAACAATGACTTTCTAGTTTAGGTTTGCCGGTCTCATCAGAGGCAGCGGCTGTTTGGCTGAAGTGCTTTGTTTGTGTCAAGGGGGAAAGGGGAAAGAGCGCGGAAGAGGAAAAGGAACAACAAACGTATACAAAAGTTAAATGTAATGCATTGATAAAGAACAACCTGAACAACTAAGAAAAGGCCAAAGATGCAGCACACCAACAACATATCCATAAAACACCTCAGGGGATTCAAGAGAAGTGGTGTTTGGGCGGCCGATGTTCGACAGTACTTTAAATGCGTGTCCATCCTCAAATATCCATAGCTTTCTCCTTCCCGGTTCAATTCCTGAGATTAACTTCCCTCTCCTACTCCTTTCTTTGCTCTTTCTTTGTTTCTTGCTCCTCTTGTCTTCCTCTCCCTCTCTCTGCTTTGTATTGTGTAACCAGGCTGCATGTTTCAGGTGCCACGCTGCAGGGGGCTGAGTGGGTAGATGCCAAGGGGCTTTATAATAACATGAATAGTAATAAATATATATATATATATCATTGCCTCTTGGAAATGTCCCAGAATCAGACTCACACTATTATTACAATGTACAGTCTATTGTGTGTTGCTTTGGGTGTTTGCAGGTCCCAGCACGTTTGTTTTTGATATTTAGTGGGAAAGGAACAGGTCGGTGACAGGCCAGGTGTGGGCGCACAAAGAAAGGTTTAGTTGCTCCTGCTCAACGAGTGTCTGCTCAGGTGGCAAACGGCGAATGAATTCACGACCTATTCAGCCTTATACCCGCCAGCTTTTGGCGAAGCCGTTGCATTTGCTCACGAGATTGCTTCCATGCAGTTGGGTTGGGAAGAGAACATGGACAAGATCCAGGGCTTTGTCACAGAGCTTCTGGGCGATGGTTTTCCCTCCCCGGCAGAGAGAATCAAAGTCGCAGAGGACAAACGTGTTGTCGGGAATGAAGCTGCCTGGCTTCTTCTTGCTTTAGCTATCAGTGGTTGGCCTCGGTGAGTATGGTGAGGGCTCTGTTCTTTGGGGGAAGGGCCTCCCTGTGCGTTCTCCCTGGTAAGGACTCACCTGCAAAGCGTGATTGTTTGTGACGACTTGTGGTGTGGTGTGAACTGTGATGTGGTGAAGGGTGTTTGGTGATGTGGTCTGTACGGCGTTAGTGGTCATTCGTGAATTGGTCATGTGAAATGTAAATGATTGTTGGTGAAGTGTCCTTTCAATGTGGTGGAGTGTAGAAATTATGTTAGGATGGACAGATTTGCAATGTGGTGAAGGGTATTCGCGGTCATGATTTGCGTTCTGGAGTGTAGCGTTGGTGAGATGTAGTAGTGTCAATAATGTGGTGGAGTGTAGGAAAGTAGTGATTTGCGATGCGCTGCTCAAGTGATTGTGATGTGTGATGCATTACTGCGTAGCATGGTAGGTTGTGAGCTGGTCAACTGGTGATTGGCGATGTGCTACTTTGTGCTGCTTTGCAATGATGTGGTGAACTGCAAATTAAAAGTGTGATTGCATTTTTTGCCCACCCTGGCTCCTCAACATCCCTCAACTCGCAAAGCTGTCAGACCGTGCTTGACACATGGAATCTGGCCAAAAGTCTATAGTAAAAACTAGATGAAGGGGTTGAGAGTAGCTTATGATGTTGTTTTGCAATTAGATTATGTAGCGGGCCCCCAGCTAAGCTAAACACACAAACGCACCTATTCTGCAGCTGGGCGCTAGGTTTGCGGTAGACTTGCGCTAGTGTTGCCTTAGGACATGTTCAGAACGTTGTCAGGTTTTTGAAAAGTGGCTGGCTGAAAAATGCGCTTGCCGCGTGCTAGAAAACATTGCCAGATTCCAGCGTGACCCTTCCAAGTTTCCAAGGCTGACTTGCAACATGTCTTTTGTTTCAAGCCTCAGAGATCAGCTGAAAACGGTGCAGCGCTTCTGACGCCTCTTACAATTTGGCGCCAATACTTGTTTGGTCCATGTTTCCTTCATTAACCAGCTGTGTGTGCCACAAGTAAAGAATATGTAGCGGGCCCCCATGTAAACACGACTCTCAGCCATTTTTGGAAGAAGACAGTTCGACCAAATCCCACATGTTCTTTTCCAAAGCTAGTTTGGTGCTTTTGGCAGTAACTAATATAAGACTCCAGAATAGAGCTACTTTTCAAGGCCCATGTCTTTTGTTGTAGCGGCTAGTCTGATGACCTGTTTGCAGTCTGTAGATTCAGCAACCTCACACTTGGAGGAGTTCCTTCGTAACAACACTGTTGTTGACGAAGATCCAGGGTGGTCTGATGTGGACCAATGGATTCACCCCAAAATGCCGAAAGAGCATCGTCTTACTCTCCTGCGAGAGAAAAGAGATGCGAACAGAGTGTTGAAGTCCAAGCGCAAGCCTGCCTCCAAAGCTTTGAAGAAGGGCAACATGTCTTGCAAAAAGACACGTGTTGAAGTTGCGCCAAAGTTGGATGACGAGTCTGCGGAGGAGCAGGATGCGCCCTCCAGGACAGACTCGCCAAAAGAAAACAGACTGATTTGTGTGTATGTATATATATATATATTTTTTGGGGCAAGGTTCTTGTATTACCTGCCGCTGGTTTGTTAAAGTCTAAAGTGTGTTCAATGTTGCTTTTGTACCATCAACTCCCAACAGTTGGACATCTCTTTTGAGGGTCAGTGGTGCGTCCTCGTCCTCTTCTTGTGCACCTCCACTGCGTGGTCAAGCACCTATCACGGCTTTCTTCCCTGCAACTCGTTTGGAATTGCAATGAGCTGTGTATAGGATTTGTTTCTTTCAGAAACAAACTTGTGTTGTGAGTTTGAAGACTTCAATTGCGTATATATTTAGAAGACATGCCTTTTTGATTGAGGCATTGGTGGCATCTCGCGACACTGTCGTGCTGGAGGTGTCTGAGTCTGATGACGAATGCAGCCCAACTGTGGTGGACTTCTTTTGACAGCTACTTGTCACGCAGGCCTTGTACTGAACAATGTTTAGTGCTTGCAGTCAAGGGCCTAAGATAGAAGCCGCACTGGCCAATAGGTGAGGCATTTGGACATCAATTGCAATCTATATTTGTTGGGGGATTGGACCAGATTGGAAGTGGTGTTAGGGTGGTTTAGGAGCCGGCCCCCTTATGCAGCGGACTTCAGGCTGGAAGCTGGAAGCTGGGATCAACTTCTGATTGCGTGGCTTCCCAGATGCTTACCAGAGACAGGTGCACCCAGGGCATGTTTCATTGTCCATGGAATGCGCAAAACATTTCGGCTCTGGCGTCAGTGCACCTTTGTACGACTGTGTAGACATGCCGGTGTGCCTTCTACTATATAACCTGTCTTGTATCGTGTAGATTGAACAGTTGTTTGTTTCGCCACGCTGGTTTTCACTTTGACTTGTAGAGCCTAGCGCGATGACACTGCAGTGGAGTGCCTTTGCCTGGCTTCTGGACATTGCAGCAGTGACCTTTCCACGAATCGAAGCCAATCAGCCTCATGGAGTGGATGCTATTGAATGCGCCAGGCATGCTTGCATTGAGATAATGCTTGTATGCGGCAAAAGCACGTTGACTGAGCCGCTAGAGTGTATCTTCGCAGTCTTGACTGCTTGGAAGTTCCACGCGGATGTCGTACCACAGCAGTTTCTTTATATTTGCTCCAAATATGTTTGCCTTTTTGTTGGTTTCAGACCTTTTTGTTGGTTTCAGATACTTGCCGCGTAGCATGAGCAGAAGAAGCTACCCGTAAAGAAACTGAGGTTCATTTCCAAAGCATTGAAGTCCACGCCTGCTGAATCTGCTTATGGTTCTTTGCCTGAGCCTTTGAGCAAGTTGCAAGCAAGGGGCATCACCCACCACCAGATTGACTTTGCCTACTTGGTCGAGGTTCTTACTGAACTGATTTCGCAGAATAAGGAACAGCTGGGCAAGGACGATATGTATTGGCTGCAGTCTGCGCTTTGCACTGCCACAGATGCATGGCTTTGGGTCTTGAAGCACCCATCTGCCAAATGAATGAGCTTTTGGTATGTAGAAGGTGACTAGGCTTTTTGAAGCACATGACGTTGCGTCTGCAGAAACAATTGGGGCTGAATGTGGCTGAATGGGGCTGAGAGTCAGAGTTAGACTCACTAGGTTTTTAAGGCCTCGACGTGGGAATCCAAGTCTTTTTAAGGCTTTTTAGGCAGTGCAACTCGTTTGGAAGGTTTTTAGGCTTTGAGCTTCTTGCTCCTGCCCTGCCTGTCCAAGGCCTGACCACCTCAATCGCAGAGGTGCGGTGGGGCCAAAGGAGCCTGAGGTTTTGAGATGATCAGCGGTTTCCTCCTGGGCCCGGTACGTAGATGCATTTCCCTGGAACCAAGTAAGAAGAAGGTGACTAGTCTCACAACCTTCTGAAGTGAGGTGAAGGCTTTAGAAACCTAAGTCTAAGGGGCTGCTGCAAACTGGCCAGTGTTTCAGGCTACTGGGTTGGTGTGGGACCGCTGTTACGCAAGAATTATTGCTCTGCGTTCACTCAGCACGGTTGAAGGTGAACTGTGCCAGGAGTGAGGCATGCTTCGACGCAAAAAATGTCTATCTACTTTCGGCGTTCGGCTCGTGAATTGACTTGTTGGTTGTTGAAAGGATGTACAAACAGTAGGAGGGTCTGCGCAATGGTTTTGTGTAGTTGTGTTTCTGTGCCTGGCAGCAGCGTGTGTTTGGATCGGAACGATTAGGTGAACTCGGTTGTGGACTGGCAATGGGGCGGTCTGAGAAGCATGCAAAGGATAGTAAGAGAAATGAAAAGAAAGTGAAAAAAGATGAAAAACTGAAGAAGAAAAAAGATAAGAAGAAATCCTCTTCCAGTTCGTCAAGTTCAGAGCCTGATGAGAAAGAAACACTCCTGGCCAATGCGGTTGCCTCCTCCTTTGGCTTGAATCTTGTCATTTGCATTCAGGCCAAACTCGACAAGGTTAGGCTTTAAAGGTATACTGGTTTACTGTTGCGCACACTAGTTTACAAGGTCAAAGGTAGTATATACGTGTTGGACCTCGTTTTTCCTTCTCCTTTCTTGTCCACGCTTATATCGTGTCCACACTTATAAAACAGCCAACGCTGTCAAAGCTGCCTCGTTGATTGTGGGGTGCATCCAGGAAACCCAAAGCGCTGATCTTGAACTCCCGAGTGCAGAAGGTGTCTGACCTAAAGGTTTACTGGATTGCATCCATTTTGGGACGGCAGCACCCAAGTCTCACAGAGCAAAGTCTGATGCTTGTTGGTGGAGAGTTGTACGAGATGAAGAAGCACGCGCTATCCACCTTGAAGCTCAGCGAGCAGACACCTGCAAGTCTCCAAATCCGTGTTGAATTGGCTAGTGCTGCAGCAATGGCTGAGAAGAAGTGGCGGGATAGACTTCTGACAATCCTGGACAAAGGCAAGTAAGTAGTGTGTCTACCAAATTGATCCATATTGCATAGTTTGAATTGGGCTCAACTTGTTTTGCCTCCACAATATTGAATCTGTCGCCACCTAAACCCTTGACCCTGCAGTTGCTGGTATGAATGACCTGAGTGTCATTGGACAGCGCAACAGTGTGACGTCAATTCGAAGGCTTGTGATGGCTGAGGGGGTGGAGAGAACAACAGGGAATAACTAAGTGCGCTTATTGAGTGAGCTTTGTTTTCAAGGCTGACTAGGTATGTAGTCCTGCTCGGAAAAATGATTTGGGCTGTTTGTTTGCCACTCATTGCCAGGGCGGTTGCCTCTGAGATCGAGCAGCGCAGTTCTGATGAGGATAGCAAGGTCCAGTGGCACGTTGAGTTGAAGCAGCTCATATCCAACTTCAAGGCAGCCGCAAAGAAAGATCTAGATGACATGGCTGGCAGTCCCAAGACAGAGCCCGGTTCATCTACAAGGGTGCCATCTTCTCGTTTCAGGGAATCAGAGCCTTTGTCGAGTGAGGGCTCAGACAGTTCCAAGAGTGGTTCAACTCCACCTCGACCAGTACAGGCTAAGAAGGCTAAGAAGGACTTAGGGCGCCTAAAGTCCTTGTTTGTTGTGAGGAGGATGTCTGGATGTCTGTTGTGATCCCCACCTTCAATTCCACCTTCAGTTGTAGCAGAAGTGGACCCTTGCGTGTGAAAGTTTCCTATCAACCCTTTGCAAGATGTAGCCAGGAGAAGAAAAGACGCACTCTTCACGGCGAGCAGCGCGACGCTGACATTTTCCAGGATCGGTTTGCTCGCAATGTGAGGCCATTTGACGCCCCTACAACCAGCTCGGCGAAGGACCAACCAGACGGTGCAGCAACTGCTGAGGAGGAGAACCTGTTTACATTCTTCAAGGAGGAGCTAAACAGGATTGTGAAGCACACCAATGACATTTCTCTGTTTATCAAATGCTTGATTGCAGATGGGATTGAATCTCGGCTGTGCCTTGCGCAATGTGCTTATACTTGCAGCATCTTGCAGCTGTCTTAAAAAGTAGTTTGTATCCAAGTAGTCTGGACGTAGTTGGCATAGAGATCGCATATCCAAGGACAACGTAAGTTGCCTGCTTGATGCTGCTGAGTCTGGGTGGATGCCCACAGCTGAAGTGTGTGGGGCTGCAGCTCGGGAGGTCTTGGGCTGCATTTCATGGAAGGGTCGCCAGAGCTGCGTTGCCTTTATGAAGCATGTAGCTGAGCCAGACAACCTCGCAGCTTGCTATTTGAAGTATGCCGAGCTGTGTTGCAGTTTGGACAGAAGGGCAGGCTAAGCAGTTAGTTAAACATATGTCATATGTAAAAATGTTGTTATAAATAATATTTATAGGGCAATGAGTGACACATAACTACCCCCATAAGTCAGAAGGCCTGGGAAGCAAATTATAGTGGCGTGACGTCTGATTGTGTGGGGTCATGATTATCCTTTCATGAAGAGGGATTCCAAAGACTAAATTATCTCTTCATGATGAAGGGTGCCAAGACTCCTAAATCTCTTCATGAGGAATGAGTTTCAAGATTCCCAAGACATCCCTTGACAAGAAACGATCCCAACACCAAACCTCCGTGGAGAGATTTAACTGACTTAATCTCTTGAGGAGGGATCTGCAAGACTAAACACCTTCATGAGGAGGGTTCCCCAAGAATATATCTTTTTGTGAGAAGAGAGCCCCAAGACTAAATGTTTTATGATGAGAGATCTCCAAAGGCATGAGCGTGTGTCTGAGGAAAAGGCTTGTTGAAAGGTGTATACCCTGTCTCGGCACATGTCTTGGTCATAGATTATGAAGTAGAACATTAGTGGGACATTGTGAAATTCAAGTGGGTGAAGAAAGGGAAGAGACGCACATATAACTGCAGGAAGTTTTTTTGGGAAGACCTTCCGGATCCCCACCCTTTTGGAACATTGTGCGACACGGTTTCTTCAAAGGCGGTTTGTATTGCGAGGAAAAATGACCTGGGCGACTAGTAGGTTGTCGATGATGTTTTTGTACTTGCGCGTGTGTTTTAAAAGCCGCCGTAAAGCACTTCAGGCGAACTACAACAAAAAGGTGAATGCGCCTGACAAGCTGCCTGACAAGCCGCTGAATGAGAGATTGACGCAGGTGGAGGCAACGAAGCCACCTTCTCAGCCGGCTTCACCTGAGAAACCTACCGCGCATGAGCTCACTTTGGCAAGGATGCAGCCGGTCCCGCGGAGTCCAAGCTCTGGCTCAGACTAGTGTCTTTTTTGAGCGCCTGGCCAGTTGAAAGGAGGGTCAGGGTGGCTTTAGCAGCTAGATTTGCAGCTAGAATTGTTCCTGTAAGCCCGAGACAAACCTGAGTCTGTTCTGCGTGGTGCTGACTGGTTGGTCTAAAGAGAATACGCTTGTCAGAATTGTTCCAGGAGTCTTTTGCTTTATATGCCCCAGGCCCCAGGCCCCAAGACTTTCAATTTGAGTGGGGGAAAGAAGGTCCCAGCGGGGGCCGGGGTCCCCTTACAAAACCTTATTTAAACCTGGGTCCCTCACTTTTTCCCTGTCTCGGCCACCGGGAACGTTCTGGCCAGCAACGAACGTTCTGACCCCCCAAGAACGGTCTGAGGGAAGCGGTGCGTACTCACAAAGAAGAAACGAACTGACAGAACACATGCGAGCTCAGACCAAACTGGGAGGGTCAGTTCCAGATGTGCTCTGTGCAGCTCTGAAGCAAAAACCGAGAAAAAAGGATTGTTAGAAAGAATGGGGAAGGTTGCGTTGCCAAACCATACCGCGTGAGACGTCTGTGTTTGCGCAAACATTCTTTCCCAAGCGTTCTTTCTATGTTTTTGCAAGTTTGTGGACGTGACGCCGTGCTGAGACGGAATGGCTGAATTGAAAGAATTGTGGTTGTGTAGGTCGCAATGGACAGGTTTATTGGACCAGTTTGTGGGGACAAGGGAACGTTCTCACGGCCACGCATCGTTCTCACCAGGCGGGAACAGTCTGACACAATCTTTGGCTGTTGTGGACCAAAGAGTTATCTTTCGGTTCAGTCTTTTTGTCCAGCCTTCATGCCGAGCCGCCGAGCAACCGATGAGCCTACATGTGGTCGTAGCCGAAAGAAAAGGAAGGTTGCTGTGGAAACTGGAGCTTCCAATGGACAGTCTGGAGAGGAGGTGAAGCAAGGTGACGCACACTCAGAGTCTTCATCGAGTTCAAGCACCATTCAACTGGCAAGTCATACTGGTTTATGGGAAGCCCCAGTTCTCCGCTTCCAGATCACACCGGCATTCAGGTATTCCACCAAGTACACCCAAAGGGAGCTGGAAAACATGATTCCTGAGTCGTATTGGTTGGAAGATAGCCAGCACGACACTCTTTGCCGTTGTGAATATTGCATGTTAGTCTTCGACCATGACTTCTAATTCTAAGACCTGACCTGCTTGTGGTAATTCGGAAATGCATTGATGCATCCTGTTAAATTCGCATAAGCCAGGTCCTGGTGCGTTTGTTGGACGCACTTGCTTTGTTTTGCGCGCCTGAACCATGAGCAGATTCTTACCACTGGCAAACAGTGGAAAGGCTATAGTGTCTAAAAGCTGTAGCCGATGCTGAGGGTTCTGTGGGGTGGTTCTGTGGGTTCCTGGGGTTGTTTGCCTTGTTGGAGCGTTGTTTGCATCCAGCCGCTGCCGCTGGGGGTTGTGGTAGTGTATGTTGGGCCACATGGAGCCCATTCAGGATGCTGCCCGGGGTCAGGATGCGCCCGGGGGTCGGCAGCACCAGGAGCTGTCAGAGGCAGGGTTGCAGTGGGTTGGGCAGCGCTCTTCCTTCTGTGTGCGATCATATGAAGCAAACAGGATTGTAATTGACTTTAGTGGGTGTGGTGTAGGTTGTCAGAGGTGAGTCCTGTCACCCACACAGGAACGATGGAAACATCAGCTTCAAATGCTGCTTGCCAAGCTTGAGAATGATGACAAGGAGGCCAGGGCTGAAGCCTTGCACCAGGTGCGAGCTTCGATTGCCTTGCGATGGGTGCATTTGGTGAAAATGAGAGCGCTGCTACCCAAGGGGGAGTTCGAAGCGCAGTTGGAATCAATGAGGTCGCATATGTCGAGCTTACTTGAAATCCATGGACAGGAAATACCCTTCTGTCTTGAGCCGACAGAGAGGCTTGAAGGTGCAGTCGCTGAGAAGTCGAGTGCAGACTCAGCTGTGAGCAGTAGTCCAAAGTCCTCTGTGGTGAGCAACGTTCTACCACATGTCTTCAAGTTCATTCAGTTCGAGAACAGCAGTGTGTGGTCAGTGGTCCAGGCATTGACCTTTCCTGTTGATTGCAAATTGTGAATGCCAAATGTTCACGTCTAGCTGGGCGGTTTTGTTTGTGCAGGACATTTATACAGCACCTGTGTAGTGTACACAAACATTGACAATCTGTCTTCTGATGGAGGCACTTTTCAGACGAACAGTTCTTACTTATTCAAGATCTGAAATCTGTAGACTGTTTGTAGGGAATGGGGATGTTAAGGCCTTTTGTGGGTCTCATTCATCCAGGTGGACAAGAACTTTTCTGTGGATGGGTACAGGAACTTCTTTGCCTTTGCAGAGTGGTGGACCTTCAAGACTAAGTATACGCAGTGGTGGACCAAATCCTTTGAGAGTGCTTGCCTACCGCTCACTGCAGATTTGGGGTTGTCGCCAGGGCATGTGCTTTGCCAAAAGAAGTAGTGTTTTGCGAGCCATTGTTGCAGGCTAGGGTAACCTGATGTGTCATGTCTAAGAAGCTAGAAACCCACATGTAGGATTCGTACACACATTGCGTAAGTTTAATTCCTGACAGACTGTTTTGCGAGTCCAGGTGATGCGACGTTTGCAGTACAAAGGTGGCACAAAGCTCAACTACACACTTCCAGTGGATGCAGCTTCCTCCATTGGAATCCTGATCGTTGTAGGTACAATCCTGCCTGCAGCGTCTTTGTCGTCTGAGGCATTGCTGGAATGCCGCAAAATGCTGAAGGCCTTGGAAGCGTACTCCAATGTGCGAGAGATTGTTGCAATTGCACCAGAAGGCCGTGAGCTAATCCTAGAAGCAACTCCACAGGGCTTGTTTCTGCTAGCAGACCTGAAGCACATGTTCAAGAAGCTGGGCCTCAACTTTGCCAGGCCAGCTACCAGGTTTGTTTTCGATTGTCAAAAATGTTTATCATTCGATATGGAAGATTAGTCGAACAAAGAGTTCGTCATTTGATCAGTCTCAACCTCATGACCAGGTTTCAGCAGAAGCTACAAGGGGCTCCTGCTGCTCTTTCCATCTCTGAGATCATAGTTGCACTATTCCGTATGCGTGGCTCTCAGGGCAATCAGGATCCAAACTCCACCTTCCATCGCTTTCTGAAGCGTTTGTGCCATTCCTTCAGTCAATCTGTGGAAGTCGGTGTGGAGGGGCATCTCTTATGTGAGTGCCCTGACCCTGTGGTCCATGCTCGTGTTCATCCGTTCATGAAGCGGAGCAGGACAGGTGGGAACAAAGTGCTTCAGAAGAGTTTGATTGCCCGTTGGCAGTCCAGAGGCGGTGGATTTGCGTCCACCAAGGACAACCCAAACTTGGCCACTTTGGGAATCGTAGCTCCTCGTAGCAATTTGGCTTCGCGTACTACCAATGAACTGGCAGTCCGTGCTCTCATGAAGGCTGCTCAATGCATGGAGGAGTCAGCGTCAACTAGCAAGGTACTGAACTTTTGCTTTGATGCGGCCATGGTGTCAGAAGAGCATGCAACCCGAAGCAAAATCATGTGAGTTGAGTTGTAAGATTGTTCTCTTTTCCTCCACTTATTTGTATATCAGGGACACTTCAAAAGATGAATTGCGAACCAGATTTGATCATTTATTGGCTTCAGGTGCTCAGTGTGGTCTTCAGAAGCAATGGGGTTCAGTTTGCCGGAGCCACCCAACTGTTGCCACATGGCCTATGCGAAGAGCAAGCTACAAGTGCCTTACAGTCCTTCTCAAAAGCTGCGAAGGCCCAGATGGAATCGCACGGTGGACCAGCCAAAATTCCAAGCGGCTCGTTTGCTTGGAAAGAGTTCAGAACCAAGACGAAAAACACACTCATGGCCTTAGTGAACTGCTTGCAAGTGATACTTCCTCCAGGCTTCAGTCTGAGGAACTGCTGCCCTGAGAAGAGTCTCGTTCCACGTACCAAAGACGCAGAGCGCTTCCTTTTGCTTCCGCAGGAGAAGCAAGCGTTGGGGCTGAGTGATTGGCCGGACGATGCGCAGCTTCACTTTGTCTACCACTTTGGCCAGCAAACCAGATGGCTTGACTTCATTCCATCGACAAACAGCATGTACAAACTGTGCTTTGCAGCCGACGAAGGCTCAGAGGCGCGCTTCCAACAAGTTACGTGGTGTTTTTATCTGTTTCTTTGAACTTTGCTCCAGCGCTTTACTACCTGTGCCAAAAGCTGTGTTGCTATACCTTGGTTCACGACCTCTTGAGCCCTATAATAATTTGTACGCCTCACATATGACGCTAAGTTCTGAGTGTACATTGAATTTGCATACTTTGCAGATTCGTAGTAGGTTGTCCTTTCATTCAATTCCAAGCCGCGTACTTTTGTATATGCCGGCTATATAAATACTTCTGCTTTGACACTTGCCGGGTCACTGGGTGATGGTAGAAACTTATATATATATATTTATAGAAGCACTGACTGGCGCCCTGAGGGATTTATTGCTTGGCTTCATATGAATGCTTCGTCAGTGTGGAGTGTGTACTGGCCAGATATGATGCACAAACTGGCAAGGAAGGCCAGCCTGTCATTGACAAACTCAGGTGCATCACAGTGGCTTAAGAAAACGAACAAGCTTTACCGGATGAGCCTTGGTCCATGGGGCTCAGGTCGCTTTGGGAAGGAGCTTCTGGCGGCTCGAAAACACCTTCTCAAGGCACTCAAGGATGGGTCGTTTGACCAAGATCTTCTGGAGTCATGGCTTCGTCAAGTAGCCAAAGACCAACAAGTTGACCCTGCTGAGTTTTCTGTCAGCGACTTGGTGCTTCTTCTGGAGAAGTCAGGACAATGGTTGAAAGGTGACATCATATTGAATACTATACTAACACATGCTTCTGTTTCAGGCAACTTCCATGACAAGAAGTAATTCCCATGAATGTCTGCTGCAGGAACTGCTCACGTGAGAGCTGACGAGCGCAAGGATGTTCGCTGGTTTAGCTTCTATGATCACACTTCCTCATGGAACCGACGATTTCACCTTGAAGCGTTTGTCATGGAGTACGCATGGTTCTGTGATGGCAAATCACCTTGGCACTTGCCTGACCAAAGCGCTGCCAATTCAGAGGCCTACTCTTCGAAACTGGTTGCCTACAATGTTCCCTGGCATATTTGAGAGCAGCGTTCCAAAAGAAACGAAGCAGCGAAACTCCTCCTTGCCTGGCGTATTGATTTCTTACCTCTTCATTCCTGTGTTGGGCTTTAAAGTAACAAAACTTAGCTTACATAGTGTGTAGTTCTGTAGGGTGCATTTCATTGATGGCCCATGGTGTCTGGCTAGGACCAATAAGTTTAATGCTTTAAACTTCTTGTCTAGAGTCAGAGTTATCCATGTGTGTCTGTTTGTCAGAGCTGCAGGTCCTGGCTGATGACACCAATCAGGACAAGATGAGGAGCCTTCTTCTTGTCTTTCGCCGCATGCGAGCATTTGCTGGGGAGTACGATGCTAGGCTAATGGATGTGACTCCTGTGTACTTTCTAGGTCGTGGAGGTGTCTAGGATGGAGATTCTGGCGCCGTCTTGTCGTTGGTGGCCTCTTACGTTGGACTCATCTCGGACCCTTTGCAGGTTTCACCCCACTTGCAGGGTTTCCCTCTTGTGACAGGATCTTGCGTTTGAGGGCCTGTAGGTCTTGTGAGATCAAGTTCACGCTGGAGCCTGTAAGGGTGTGTGTGTGTGTGGTGGGGGTGTATCCTTTCGCCAGGGCTGATCGATGCAGTTCCTAGACGACTACACGCTAGGCAGTACACCAGGTTGCCCCCAAAGGTTTGGACTCTTCTAGTAGCAACTGTGTTCAAATAGTTGTGCTTCAAGCAATGTTGTGGCTGAGTGCGGCTTAGCAACTCCATGTTCTGCTGAATGTTTTCAATATTCATATATAATATATGTCGCTTGCAGGAAGAGCCCACAACAGTTCTTAATATGTCCAGAACGAGTTGGCCTGGCTTTAATTGGAATTCACGGTTCTTGTGTAAAGTCGCTTGTCTACATAAGGACAGAGCAGTGCAGCAGTCAAGCAGTGGCAGCCTCAAGTATGCCATCAGCCTTGCAAATGGAAAGCGGCTAGCCAAGCTCCTTTCGACTCTTGCTCTGGATGTGTTTGTTTCCGACTAAAAATAAGGTCTCCTGCAAACCTTGGGGTTGGCAGTGACGACTTTTATCAAACAAGGAAAACCATTGGAGAGTGCACCACCGCGGCTGCGTTGGCTTACATAGGTGGTGATGGAGATGGGCCTGAATGTGTGGACGTGATCGAGTGGCACAGTGCATTGCTTTTGTACCAATTGAAGGCAATCTTCCAAGTGGGCACATATCACCGGAGCTTTCCTTGGCGTGTTGTGGAGTGTCTTGATCCAGGAGCATGGTCAAAAGTCTTGCTGGCCATGCAGGAAGTTTGGGACTTTGTGGTGAACGTTGTGGACACGTTACCCGCAGCAGACCCCTTGTATGTTCAGCTGGCAATTTGCAGGGCGCAAAGCTTCCGCGACCTGATGATTTCAGCAGAGCAGCTGTGCTATCAATATGTTTGTTGTTAGGGATGCCCCTACTGTCACTAAAACAGCTCTGTGGCCACCCTGGACCACTATTATAGTTTAGTTTCTACTGAGTTAACTTTGATGCCCCAAACAATTGTATGAACTGAACATGTAGGGGCGCCCACCAAGCGTCAGTAATAGTAGAGTCTTTTAATACTACATATTCATATCTTCCAATATATATATATATTGAATATACCCACGCACAAACATATATATATATGGAGTCCGGCCAAAAGTCTATAGTAAAAACTAGATGAAGGGGTTGAGAGTAGCTTATGATGTTGTTTTGCAATTAGATTATGTAGCGGGCCCCCAGCTAAGCTAAAAACACAAACACACCTATTCTGCAGCTGGGCGCTAGGTTTGCGGTAGACTTGCGCTAGTGTTGCCTTAGGACATGTTCAGAACGTTGTCAGGTTTTTGAAAAGTGGCTGGCTGAAAAATGCGCTTGCCGCGTGCTAGAAAACATTGCCAGATTCCAGCGTGACCCTTCCAAGTTTCCAAGGCTGACTTGCAACATGTCTTTTGTTTCAAGCCTCAGAGATCAGCTGAAAACGGTGCAGCGCTTCTGACGCCTCTTACGATTTGGCGCCAATACTTGTTTGGTCCATGTTTCCTTCATTAACCAGCTGTGTGTGCCACAAGTAAAGAATATGTAGCGGGCCCCCATGTGAACACGACTTTTAGCCATTTTTGGAAGACATTTCGACCAGATCCCAATATATATACACATGACACGCTCACACTCAGCAACCGCAAAACTGGATTGACCTTTGACATCAATCTTCAACCGCTTATGCTTTTGAAACAATCAAGTCATGGATGATATTGTGCATGATTGGGGGGGTGACTCATGAGAAGAGATCTCCAAGACTAAATCTCTTCATGAGAAGAGGCCCCAAGGACTAAATCTCTTCATGAAGAGGGACCTCCAAAGGGATGAGACAACAATGGGCAAGTGTGAGCGAAAGGTATTTCTGAGAAGTAGGGTTGGAGAGGATAGCAAACACGACAATAGCTGATGAATTTGAAAACGGATAGACATTGGAAATTGGAAAGTGTGAATCGAAGATTAAAGGTTGTGAAGAAAGAGAAGAAAGGCAATTAGTATTGGAGGCGCGTTTGGTAAGATTTTCATCGTCAAGAAGTTAGACTTTGTTTACGACTATTATTATAGGGCCTTTGTGGGGATCATTTTTGTAAATTTGTCCAGAGGGTTTGTTTGCAGGAAACAAGTATATACTTTACCCATGTGTGTACACCAGAGGAGGGTACGAATGTTCTGGAATCAAATGCTTGTGTAGCAATCAGGTATTTCAACTTCGATGTCAAGCGGATGGGCACACCTTGCAGCCGTGCTTTTGAGGAGAACATCCTGGCAGTTTGTGGGTTGCAACAGGCAGGCGCCCCGAACAGCCTCCTGTCCTCATTGCCGTCTGAACTGACTTTCAACCAGATGAGGGATTGTGCCAGACGCCGCTCCAAGCATGAGCGTTGTCAGCCATCTTCGCTGCATGCTGTAGCATGGAAGGCAGCCACAAAGCATCCTTGTGGTTGCGCCAACTTGGACCTGGATGACAATGACTGGGCTGTTCCATTGAAACAAAGTGAGATCAAGAAGAGTGTACACCAGAACTTGAGAAGCACCGACAAGGAGATGGGCATCAACAGCGAAGGTCTCACGAAACACAAGGTGGTGAAACACTTCACCAAGCCACACGTCTTTACTGATCGACTGGAATTGTTAGACTTCATTGTCAAGAGGTTCAAGGAGTTTCCTGGCGACCAAGAGCAAAAGCGAGGTGAAATCCTTCGCGCTCGAAAAGCCATGTGGTTGTCAAAGCTGGTTCCTGAGCTTTGGTTTCTGAGGCGTAGAAGTGAGGACCAGTCGGAGGTGCCTGAGAATTGCTTGATCGTCATCGGAGCAGGGCCATACTTGGTTGACTGTGCAGGGTGCTCCCATGTCACCAACGCAAACTACAGTCTCCAAGCCACTCCTCCTGTGAAGGTTCTTGTCGACGGGCTCAACACTGTTGAGGTCGCACAGTGTGTGCCAAAGTCAGATGGAGGGCATTTGCGATGGTCGAAAGGTGGACCCTGGATTGACCTGCCGACCTACACGTGTGATTTTGGCATCTTGAGCATCGGAGTCCAACTCTTGAGTCAGCTTTGCAGTGCTCTCAAGATACCTTCTCACCAGAAACTTGATCATCGTCATCGAGTGGAGTTGTTTTTGAAGTTCATGAAGAAGTCAGATGCCTACATCGCAGAGATCCTAGAGCAGCTAGTTGTTCCATCGAGGAAGAAACTGGCGGACACAGAAGAGGAGAGTGTTATGTTGCACGTTTCTGTTTTCGCCAATGTTTGCACGTTTAGACGTATTTGTTTGTCTTTTTCTTGCCCGTTCTGTTTCCTTCCAAAGCGGAGGTATTGGAAAGACTATGTAAAGACTCGACGTGGGAATCCAAGGTCGTGGGTAATTAGATTCGATGGCAATCAAACCAATAAATTCTATTGGGTTGTGGGGCGCAAAGCTTCCCTTAGCCTGCTGTGTTGTGTGGTATTGCATTTTTTGATGAGGAGGAGGACCCTTACAATCATTTGGAAGGCGAGACAAGCGATGAAGAGGTGCAGGAAACACAGAACGATCTCGACGAGGAGATGGCTTTGAAGACAGCAGAACATGACAAAGCAGATACATCCAAGACGGACATCGAGGGCCCTACAGCAAACGATGTGGAGATGACTGAGGCTCGAACAACCTGGCAACGACAGTCCGATATGCTAAGGCAAATTTCTACGCAGCTGTTTTTTATATCTATAAAATAAAACTATATAATATATATTATCTAAATATATAGATATCTACAGTATATATATATATAGCCAAATGGCAGCCCTTACATGTTCAAGCGTTTCTCGACTTCAGTGGGAAGCAAAAACTAGTTCAAGAAAGGTCAATGTTCTGTTTGTTTGGTTTTTAAGTTGGAAGGTGTCTAGATTAATTTCTATTGGTTATGAACTGAATCTTCCAGGAGGAGAAACCTCAGAGATCTGACCTGGGCGGAGTTCATGCTCCACCCACTTCCCGAGGAAGGCCCAGTGGTGAGTACCCGCCTGGCTGTGTGTGCTATAGAAAGGAACCCACTGGGCAAAGCCCACTTCTCCAAGTGTTTTTGCCGGGCTCTTTCAAGCATGAGGGGAAAAGGTCCAAGGGTGTATCCTTTGTACCTGAGGGAGGCCTTGCGTTGGCCAAGGGGACAACACGAACTTTTGCACAAGCGCAAAGCTGCTGCTTGTCCTGGTCGTGGGCTTGGTGGAATTCCCTGACCCCAGAACAACGGTCTGGGATTCATTCTGCTGAAGGGCCATCTGCGAAAAGGCAGAAGCTCTAAAGACATGATGAAGATATGTCCCGGGGGTGAGGGAAAAGGCGCGTGCTGTGACTTTCTTTGGACATATACAAAACGGAGAAAAACCTCAAACCAATACAGAATGGGGAAGTTAGCGTTAGAACTGCATCCTCAAAGAAGGGAGCCTTGCCAATCGTACTCTACAACAGTCAGCTTTAGGCTCTCTAGGACTCGAGGTCTCTGAAGGAAAGGGCTTTGCAAGACAAAACTTAGGTGGCACGGCATGGGTTGTCCTGTTTTCCTGCAGCTCCCCCTCTAGCAGACAGAAATAGCTTATAAGGACAGCACGCACGAAGGACAGAGTCATGCAGATCATACCCTGTGGCTGGCCGCCTTGGGCAGGCCAAGCTTTCACTGACATCCTTCATTCCCCAATAAACAAAAACGACAGTTGCTTCTAGTTGGCTGGTGAAATTTCAGAGGCCCTGCGCCTCTCGGAGGTCCAGTAGGTAGGTTGAAGTTGGCGCTCCTTGGTGCCATGGCGTGCGAAGAGTCGAATTTACAGAGGCCCTGCGCCTCTTAGAGGTCAACATGGGTAGGTCGAAGTAGGCGCTTCTTTGACGCCTTGGCGCGCGAAGAGTCGAATTTACAGAGGCCTTGCGCCTCTTGGATGGACGCCTTGGCGTGCGAAGGGTCGAATTTACAGAGGCCCTGTGCCTCTCGGAGGTCTAAGTTGGCAGGTCCAAGTAGGCACTCCCTGGCACCTTGACGTACGAAAGGTCGAATTTTCAGAGGCCCTCTGCTTAGTCCAAGTGGGTAGGTCGAAGTAGACGCTCCCTGGCGCCTTGGTGTACGAAGGGTCGAATTTACAGAGGCCCTGTGCCTCTCGGAGGTCTAAGTTGGCAGGTCCAAGTAGGCGCTCCCTGGCACCTTGGCGTACGAAAGGTCGAATTTACAGAGGCCCTGTGCCTAGTCCAAGTGGGTAGGTCGAAGTAGGCGCTCCCTGGCGCCTTGGCGTACGAAGGGTGGAATTTACAGAGGCCCTGCGCCTCTCGGAGGTCCAAGTGGGTAGGTCGAGGTAGGCGCTGACTGGCGCCTTGGCGTGCGAAGGGTCGAATGTACAGAGGCCCTGCGCTTCTCGGAAGTCCAAGTTGGTAGGTCTATTTGGACGCTCCCTTTTGCCTTGGCCCTTAAGGAGCGAAGTTGCAGTTGAGAAGTCTGCACTTGCTTTGTCAACACTGCCTTTGCCGCAGCTCAGGACGAAAGGTTTCAGATGTCTGGATCCCCTGTGGCAGGCGTCAGATTCATTCCCAATAAAACAAAAGCGAAAGCTCTTAGTTTGATGGAACGGCAAAACTGCGCTTCTGGATGGCTGGTGAAAGTACGTTTCCACGGCCGAATTTTGCGGCTGGGGACCCTTCATCTCCAATTATTCAAAAACGAAAGCGTCAAGATTAATAGAACGGCAGATCAGTGCTTCTGGATCATGCTCTGCAACAGTCTGCCTTAGGCTCACTGAGACTCTAGGCCTCTAAAGGAAAGGCCTTTGCAAGACAAAACTTAAATGTCACGGCATGGGTTGTCCTGTTTTCCTGCAGCCCCCCCACCAGCAAACAGGAATAGCTTAGGTGCAGCACGCTCAAAAGATAGAGTCTTGCGAGTCCTCTGCGGCAGTCTGCTTTGGGCAGGCCAGGCGTTTCAATGAGACCTTTCATCGCCAAATGAACCAAAAAGAATAGAGATTGATGGAACGAGAAATCATTTGCACGGCCGAATTTCGTGGCTGCATGTGACCAGCAGGAGACGACATATTGCGCCTGTAGCTTGCAAGATAAAAAGTTTTGAGTCACAGTATTGGTGGTTTAGTTTTCCTGCAGCCTCCCCACCAGCAAACAGGAAAACCTTGAGTACTGCATGCACTAAGAAGGAAATCTTGCAAATCATGCCCTGCAACTGTCTGCCTTGGGCTCGTTGGGACGCTAGATCTCTAAAGGGAAGGCCTCGGCCTTGGCAAGACAAAACTTAAAATGTACGGCGTGGGTTGTCCAGCTTATAAACAGATTGCAAAAGAGCACAGACGGTTTCTTTCATTGACATGCCGCTCAGGCAGGACAAGACGAGGCTAAGCTGACACGAAATGCTTGGACTATATCTGGGTAGGTCGGCAAGAGACAAATGCAGTAAGAGGGTCTTTGGTCCTGAGGCAGTGGCTAAGGACACTGCAAGAGGAAAACCCAGCTTGGACAAACATTTCCGAAAGCGTATTCTGACAATCAGATACCAATCGTAAAACAAGAGAGACAGGGACGAAAACAAAATAGAAATGTCGAACGGGTGCTTGCCAGAGACAGCGACATAGATGTTCTGAAACTCATCTTCTCCGACTACAAAAAGGTTGCGGCTGAATCTTTCCGTATTGACCATGCTAGGAAAACGACACAGAAACAAAATTCGTGGTGAAACAGCCAGAGAAGGTCCATGGAGCTGCGCAAAAATTCCCTTAGTCTCAAAGGATTCCAGAATATCGTTATAGATAAACTGCGAAATCGTGCAAGAGACTTCCTTGAAAGACATGACGAAAACCAGCCAAGACAAAGAAGGGAATCAAGAGCGCAACTGAAGGTAATGTCTAAGGACACCCCCTTCGAAAGGTAGTACTTACTACGAAGCTCGAAGCAGTGTCTAAGGACACCACTTGAGTATGCGTAACTGGTCGAAGTCTCAAAAGATGTCTAAGGACATCCCTTGAGAAGCTAAGCTCACGGTAATGGGCAGGCGAAAAACACAAATGGTGTCTAAGGACACCACTTGAGATCTGCAGAAAGAGAAGAGCCTAGCTAAACAAAAACATCCTAGCTACGCAGTCCGGCGCGGAGACAACTTCTTCTCTTTAAGAAGCAGTCTTGAACCTCCTAGCTCAACGGCTTTTTGCCGTGAGTTTGAGCCGAGACGCCTTGAGCCAAAGGCTTGAGCCAAAGGGGTACGGAGGTTAGCTTATCCCCCATTCCAGCCACAGGATTGCCGGCTCTGTCAGGTCTGAGCAGTTCTCTTCCCTGTGACGACTGGCTTCTGTCGACAGCTCTCAGCATTGCCTGGACTAGACGGGTTATCCAGTTTGTTCAGGGACACAGGTCTTTGACAATGTGCAATTTATTTTCTTTTGCTTGCCCCTAGCTCTAGGTGCAGGCGTCTCGCCATGATACTCTTGAGTGGAACCTCCTATGGAAGGGTACAATTGCGATGTTTCTCCGCTCCCCTATGGAATTTGTCCTGGCGTGATTGTTGACCTACCTTGGACTCACGCTAAGGCGCGTGCCCAGACTCTAACGAGGAACTGCGATACAGCGCTCGCTGCAGCCAAAAAGGCTTGTTTTCATCCAAGACCAGGGGTGTGGCCCATGTCCGGGATCATGTGCAGCCAGGGTGGCCATCGCATAGCAGGACAAATGGCGAAAGCATTCTCTTCAGCATAGACTCCTCGCCACTTATGCCTTCCTGGCATCTTGGCAAGCCTACTAAAGACAGTGCAATCTAGGAAGGCCCTACTTCCTATGTACCTCAGCGAGGGCGGAATGGCAAGCTCAACTAGGGCTGCACAGTTCATGAAGGCTTTGACTCGGATTGTATGGAGAGTTGTCGGAAGGAGGACTTCTCTGAGACTAGTGCAGTGCACAAAGGCACTTAAATTGAACTCCCTCAACCTTGAATTCTGTACCGTCAGCAAATCCTCATCAGCAAATGGGAACTCATTGAGGACCATGGCTCCTTTCCGGACCCTGGAAACGTCAAGGTCCTCAACTCCAACTCTGGGGGGTCATCGGAGTCTCAGCCACTTCACCATCACGGGCCATGGTCTCCTGCGTGGACATCAAGTTGGCCATTATCTCTCAGGAGGGGACAAAAGCACGAAAGATCGAGAGAGCGCGTCGGTTGCAGAACAGGCTTGAGTATCAGGTACGTTCATCACACATGCATAACCCTGTGCTTGCTTGCAACCCTCTGCTTGCTCGCAAAGCAAAACTGAACAAAACACACAGCACACAGCAAGAAACATTCTGCAAACCAAATTAAAAGAAGAAATCTTTTTTTCCACGAGTACGGACGCCGTGTGGGCATGGTGCCCAGGTAGGAACGGAAATACAATCAGATGGTGGAGAAAAGGACAACGACAACCCAACAACAAACAAAACAAAACCAACCACAGCCCACAGGCCGAGACTCCACCACCAAGTAGTGACCAAATTAAAAGAAGAAATCTGTTCTAATACCCCTCGAACACGCTGCAACCCTCCAACACGATTGACAGCGAGAACCCCTCAGTCCGAATCTGTCAAGGTCAAGGCAAAACAGTGCAGCAAAATGAAAACGTGTCAATTTCCTTGCGAAAAAGGTAGCTATCTGGAGTTTTTTTTTCCACGAGTACGGACGCCGTGTGGGCATGGTGCCCAGGTCATCGTTGAAGGAAGGAAAGAACAGTTAGATGGTGGAGAAAAGAACAAGGACAACCAAAACCACACAAACCAAACAAACCGCAGCCCACAGGCCGAGTCTCCACCATCTTGCAGTCTTTTCTCTGTGCTAGGTGAAACAAGTGAAACGAAAACTAATGACTATCAATGGGCCTGAATTCTCGAACGAAAAGCATGGCAGCGCAGGTCTGTGCTCCAGCAAAGTCTCCAAAAAGGCTTCAAATGGACTTTACTTCATGATTACAAGTGACCAGCGGCCACTCCACAGCGTGGCAAAACAATGGTCACGATGCAGGTCAGGAGTGTCGCAATGCTCCAACGCCCGTTGCATCCATGTCAAAATGGAGTAGCGGTAGCTATGCTGCACGCCGTGGAAAAAACCTTTCTTGTAGCACAACCCGCAACTGGTTGCACTGACAAGTCCAGAGGCATGTTACCAGGCGGTGATCAAACAGTGGCGGCCATAGCAAACGACGAAAGCCTGCAGGAAAGGATGCGAAGGGCACACCTCCCCGAAGGGAGGTCAACTCCGCACCCTTCGGCACACAAAGGTGCCAAAACGGGGTGTCTCCTAAATCCGTGAAGTGCTGCGTCATTGCAAAAA